CTGTGACTGTCGCACCACTGGGATGGGGGAGGCTCTGCTTCCTACAACTCATGCTGCACCTGCTAGTTGTCCCTCAGATAAACATACGCATCTTGTAAACAGAAAAGTGAAGCTGTGAGGGTGGGTGTTTTCTCCAGAATTATAGCCAAAAAGGGGTCATCATTCAAGACAACTTGAGGGTCGGTTTTCTGATCTGTGGTCTTTCTAGGAGACATCTGCCTGAGATGAGACGCTCATTTTCCAGAGAAAGGCCCTGTCCGAGCTTCAGCAGCAACAGGCCGCTCAGCCTGTCCCATTCTGCCCTCTCTGACCCTCCAAGCTCACGTAGAGGATGGGGTGTGTGGGGTGAATTGTGCCCCTGTGCTGGGAAGGGCCTGAAGGCAAAGGGATGAGGCTGCCCCTGGCTGTGGCCAGATCCAGAGCCCTGAGGACAAAATTTTGAAGGTAGGGATGAAGTAGCCCTCTTTGTAAACGATAACTTAAAGTGGGAAAAAGTGCAGTCTTTGGGAGGTGGGTATAGCTCAGTGGCAGAGCGCGCACTTAGCACGCACAAGGTCCTGGGTTCCATCCCCACTACCTCCATTAAATTAATTAATTAATTAAATAAAAATACCCTCCAAAATAAAAAATCCCCTCCCCAAATAAAAACCACACATACAACAAAGACTAAAAAAAATCGTATTTTCCTTCACAAAGGGGCTGAGGGCCTCTCTCCTGTATAGTATTTCATAAGGAGGGATAAATACACAGAGGAGCAGCACGATTTCCCTTGGGGAGGGAAAAGGAGAGTCCATGGCATCTGTGGGGCACCCCGGGGCCCTGCAGGGATGAGGCAGAGCTCGGGGCCCTGATTTCTCTCCTCTTTTGGCTTTTTCTTATGAGCATCAAGACTTGCCTTCACAGCATCTTCAGCTGACTCTTACTGCTTTCTCCTTGTTTGATTTGCTAAATGTCTGTTTCAGTTCAATGTTTCACACCCACACTGACAGTCTGCCGTCCTCCCCAGGCCCTGGGACATCTGCCAGGCAGTGACATCAAATGTGAGGTTAAATGCAACTTGGCTCCATATCGCATCCTCGCTCTCCCTCACCCCTCCACCACCTCCTTCCTTCCAAGAACGCAGAATGCCCAGGCAGTGGAGGGGCTGGGCTGAGTGAACCTTACCCTCAAATTATCTGTTCTGGAAATTTTACCCAAAAATAGAGAACCTTGTATGATGAACGCTTGTGTACCTACCACCCAGCTTTAACAATTATCAACATTTTGCTGATCCTGTTTATCTAACTTCGTCTATATATACACATAATATATATTATATAAAAACATATTTCTTCCTGAAGTGTTTTAAAATAAATCCCAGATATCATTGTATTTCACCATAAACTACTTCAGTTTGAATATCTAATGGATACAGAAGTATTTAAAAATAATTACCATGCCGTCATCACAGCTAAGAAAATGAACAGTAATTTCTTGTCATGATCTGAAACAGACTCCATAGTCAAATTTCTGTCATTGTCTCAAAGCTGTCTTTTACGGTTGGTTTGGATCTGTATCTTTGAATGCAAAAAGAAGTTTGCTGAGCAAATTAAGAGTAAGCAGAATCCAAATAAAAAGTTTAACCTTTAACAGTCATGACTGTTTTCAGGCTTTTTGCAGAATCTGCTTACATGGAAATAAAGGGCTTGTTACACAGGAGTCTCAGTTCCTTTGGTCACCAAGTAAGAACAGAGGGCCTGCTTTGTGCCAGACACTACAGTCAGGCACCGGGCGAGGTGACCCTGCCAGCAGAGGCTCCCAGCCCAGGGTGGAAGGGATGTGGTGGTGAAAATCGTCCAGAAATGACTCCCTCTGAGGTAGTGCACAGGCACATACGGGGGCTGTGGGTGCTCTGTGGAAGGAAGAAATACCAACATCAGGTCCCATTTTTGTAAAAAGACATTTTATGCAGAAAATATTTAATCATTGAGACTCCTTTGATTTGGCTTGATTGTTCCTCTAATCAGTTATCATAAAGTAATGCAGTAAAGCAAATGTTTGTGTTCCACCCAAAGTCATATGTTAAATCCTAACGTCCAATGTGATGGTGTTAACAGCAGGGGTCTTTGCAGGTGATTAGGTCATGGGGGGGGTCTCATCAATGAGCTTAGTGCCTTATAAGAGACCCCAGAAAAAAATTTTAATTAAATTTATTTAATTAATTCGATTAATTTAAATAAATTAATTCAATTTAATTTAATTAAAAAATTTTTAATTTATAAAGTAAAATAAAAGAGACTTCAGAGACCCTCCAGGTCCGTCCACCTTGTGAGGATCCAGTGAAAGGTGTGGTCCATGAATCAGGAAGTGGGTTCTCACTAGACACGAAATCCGCTGGCACCTTGATCTTGGACCTCCAGCCTCCAGAACTGTGAGAAACACATTTCTGTTATTTAAAAGCCACCCAGTTACAGCATCCTGAATGCACTGACAGGTGATGCTTAACTCTGTAATTAATCCTGTAATTCTTAATCCTGTAATTCTTCCATTTTAATAGATTCCCCTTCCTGTCCTTGCTGTCTTTCTTGAGTCAAGCTTTCCTGAAGGGGATTCCCTTCTTCCTAAGAGGACCCCTCTCTTAGCCTCGTTCCTGGGGACAGCCTGGGATTCTCTGAGTTCAGATGTGTGGTTCCTGCAGGTTCTGGAACCTTGCTTCACAGTCCTCCCAGCGTCCAAATTCATCTCCACTTGCTCTGCAGTTGTCTTACTTTCAGTTCCTCTAAGGGCAGCACCTGAGACAAGGGTGCTGATGCAGGAGGTATATTTGGGAGGACCTGAGGAGGAAAGAGTGAGGAGCAGGGAGAGGGAGGCAGGGAAGGAGGAACAGCCATCCAGAATGCCTTATTGATGTAGTGACTGATGTGGGCACCCGGGGCTCAATCCTGGTAGAATGCACTTCAGAATCGCCCCTGTGGAGGGTGGGAGGCTGCCCCCAATCCCCACTGGTTGGGACTTGCTTCTCTGGGGCCTTCACTCTCCCTCACTTTCAAGCTGACCTGTGTGGGCTGAAAGGGCTCCCCAGGGTGTCAAAGTGGAATGATGCGGGGAGTACAAGGCACAGCTACACAGCACAGCACATCCGCACTGATCTCAGAGGTGGGCCACAGGCATCAAACACGTCTGCTACAGCAATTCTCTTTCCTTTTGCTTCCCTGATTTATTAATACTAATAATGACAACATGACTTATTGAGTGCTTTTTGTATATCAGTCATTGGGCTAATAGCTTCCCAAGCATTTTATCTTTTAATCTTCTAAAGACCTATGAGGACAGTGCTATTATACTCCCATTGTACGGACAATTAACTGAGGCCAAGAGAGGTTAAGTAAATTGCGTATGGGTTAAGCACCCCACGGATGAACTTAACCCAGGTGTGTGGTCAGGCATCACTGGAGTCAGATCCTGCAGCTAAAAGCCTGGACTAAATTGCTCTAAGTTCCTTTTGGAAAAAACAAGGGGTAGTATTTTGGGCTGTGCGCTGTTATGCAGAAAGCTCCTGGGGTAGGGTCTTCTGAAAGGTCTTCCTGGATTGACCTGAGGTTTTTCTCACTAGACTCAGCCAACGTCTTGCCTTTGTAGGTTGAACGCGGCCAGATGCGGCCCCCAGACTCTGCCAGCTGCCTAGCAGCTGTGAGCGGCTGCCTCAGGGGAGTGAGGCAGAATGCCCGCAGATGAAAGAGATCTGGAAAGACAGCTTGAAGAACAGGCTCTTCCTTGCACTCTGACCCGGGGGTCACATCACAGAGGAGGGAATGTCGTCTTCAGGTCTCAGCCCCGAGACCCCTCCTCCTGTGGGCTGGCTTCCCGAGCCACTGGGTGGAGGTGGACGGGGTCTTCTCAGGCTGCATCTGCTCAGAAACAAGAAAGCTCAGCCAGTCCCAGCTCCTATTCCCCACCTCAGGCGGGTAGGCGGGTAGGCGGGTAGGCGGGTAGGCGTGTAGGCGGGCAGGGACTGGGGCGAGTCATGGCACCAGCACCTTCCAGGTCCCTGGGGAAGACTGAGAGAAAAGTGTTGTAAGAGATGGACCGTGGCCTGGACTTCTCAGCAACATGGGCCAAAAATTTCTCTTTTTCATTTAAGTTGATTTGCCTGGGGTTTCTGTCACTTGCTAAAGGAGTCTTGACTGGTACAGAGGCCAGACGCTTCCCCGCGGTGCCAAGTGACCCACTTAGGCTGCTCCAGCCGCGTCTGAAGGGCCCCCTTCTGTGGCCCGCCTCCTTCAGGAGCTCGCTGCCCCCTCCCCTCTCCCACCTAAGCTAGCTTGCAGGAAAGGATGGACAACTGTCATTTCTACTGGAGGGGAGTTTGCACTTATGTGCTCCCTGGTCCTGGATCACTCACATTTCAAGCCTGCTGCTAATTGTGATGTGAGGAGAAGGAGATTCACTTAAATCTACCGTGAACTAGACACGGTGCCAGGTCATTATCTCACTAAATGCTCCAGAGCGATCAGCAACTTTTTGAGGGGAGGGGGCCCTTGAAATCACCCATGGAAGTCACTGCTTATGATGCTCCAGCCTCCCCCTCTCACCAAGTCCTCCCTGGGGCTTGGCTTGCGTTGAAACTCTCAGGTCCTAAATGCACTGTAAGGGTCTGTGCTCTGTGCCTGCAACAAGAAAAGTCTTGTCATTTCGAGTCTGTGCACCTGATCTGTTACCAGGCTCATGTTTTTGTTTATTTGTGGTTCTGTTGTGATTGTTCTTTTTCAGTTTGGGGTTTTTTAAAAAAATAATTTGGTACTTGGTGCTTCTCAAGGCTGATTTGCAGACCCACCCTGACGCTGGTGCAGAATGTGCTCTGAGCTTTGGGGGAATCCTTTAGCCTGAATAACTGGCGGCCGGCTGTGGCCAAGCCTGGGCAGGGCTGACCCCAGTGATGGACGGAGGCCAGCCGGGCCATGCCCTGTCACACACAAGCAGCCCTTCCTCAGCCCCACCACAAAAGGCGACAGGAAACAAAGACCAGGGGGCAAAGGTAATTTATTTGGATTTTTTGGGACCGAAAAAAATTATTTCAAGTTACAAGAAAAGACAATCATTTCCATTTTGGAAGTTTCACACTCCAGGAATGAGCCATAGTGCCAGGTTTTGTGAGCAAAAGACTCACAAAAATCCCAGCCTGAGTGGCTGTGATTATCAGGACATATTTTTTTCCAGAGCAGGTCCAACTCTGCCATCCCATGAGTCTTTGCTCTAGAACTTTAGACTCTTAACTCTTTCGATAGCAAACTTCTTTGCCCCAGACGGGCTCTTCAACGTGTCCTTTTCCCTCCCATCTTTCCTTTCTCTGCCTTTCTTTGTAACTGCCTTCTTGCCCCATCACCTTGGTGTCTCAGCACCAAAGCTTCAAAGAATCAGCCTCCTCCCCCCGGGCAATTCACTTCCCTCATTTCCTGCTAAATCGGCCTCAAAATTCCTCTCTTCCAGCAAGCACCCCAAGTCTCCCTGCCCACCCCTATTAGCATCCCCAGAGAGCATTACTTGGCTCCAGGGACACTCTAGGGTCAGAGGACCTGTTTCTAGTGCTGATCCTGTCACCTTTCTGCTGTTACGGTCTTAGGTTTTTTAAATTCTCAGCTATCCTTCTTCAAAGGAACGTGGCTTCACAGTAATAGATGCTGACGTGCCCTGAAAAAGAAAAATGCTACTAAGTCCAAGCAGTGTTAGCCTGGGGCCCTCTGGGCACTGCCTTCCTCAGCTCAGCATTTCCCACCTGCTGAGGACCATACTGAATTTCAGCTGTTCCATTGCCATGGTGAAATGCCGCCTTTGCATGCCCCAGAGTGGGGTTTTATCATCTGGAATGCAAGGTCCCTGAGGGCAGGACTGCATTTTAATATTTATTCGGTGAGCTTCTCTAGCCCATAGCACCAGTCAGGACTGAGCACAATAGGCGCTCAGTCTTCAAATTGATTGCTTAGATTCAAATTTCCTTGGACAGATTCACCTCCTGTGGTGTGATTGCTGCGTCACAGCAGCAGGATGGTGGGAAACTCAAGCCTCCTTGTTTGTACTACTGAACGTGACCTCTAGCAAGAGCGGGTACTCCTGAAAACCAGTCGTGGAGACCTGGGACTCACTGATCCAGTGCTGACCCAGGTCTTGGAACCATCTTTTAAAGCCCACAGACCACCTACAGATTTCAGCCTCCCACTGGAATACAAATCCTTCCCACACGGATGGGAAAAATGACCCTGCTTTTGGCGAGTATGCAAATGCCAAACAGGGACACTGCTATGTTATAAACTCAGTGTGGGATCAGCCTGGACCATTCAGAGCACCACACCAAGGATCTCAACTCTGGGGATCACTATCTCCAATGCGGGATCCTCACTTCCTGATAAGAAAGACCACTCTCCAGCAGTCGGAGAAGGCCAGAGCTCCCCGCTGCCCTAAAGTCTTCGGCTTCAGCCTCGTCCCCACTCCCTCCACGGGCACCAGGCACCAGCAAAACCCCAGAACCCCCCTGAAGAGATCGTCTCTTATTCATGAAAACCACGAAGATGGGGAAATGATGTCACCCCATCCAAAGAACCCATCACACAAATGTTCTTCAAAAAATTCATTCTGGATACTTCCCCTTCCCTCAACGCATTCCCCACCTCCGAGTGCACACAGCTATATATTACACTTGACAAAATTCATCTTCTTTTGAAAACATCCTGGCCCTTCGAGATCTGTTTAGGGCAATGCCATTGCAAACACTGTAATTGAAAGTCAGTCACAGCAGAAACAAAGCCAGTCACTAAAGAACTAACTTGAGGGCCCTCAAGTCACTCAAAATGGGTTTGCCTAGATCAGGCTCATGGATGAGATTGGAAACAGCACCTAGGAGCATCTCTAGCCCTGGCTGACCCCAAAGAACCTGGAAAAGCGGGTGTTTTGCTTCAAATCCATAAATAAAATGCATGGTAAATAAATAGGCGCTTTCAACTCATGCTGCCTGGGAGTATCCAGCTGTGCATGCAGCGTAGCCTTCATGGTGCTCCCCGGAATTCTCAGATGGAAACTTGCTTGATCGTCCGAAAAAGCTCCGTGGTCCGCCTCCTGAAATCACCCAGGGTCACGCTGAAGCATGCAGTGAGAGAGAGATGGAACAGGGAGGAAGACTTCTGTGAAAACCCCAGATCTAGTCCGCTGCTGCTGGATGGGCACCCCTTCCAGGGGGCATGGAACCATGTATTTATACCTTTGGTTTCGTGCCTTGGAGTCTTCTGCCTTTGGAAGAGTGGCTTAGAGTAGTGAGAGAAAAATGGCCCGCAGGCTTGCATAAAGGGTGTCCACACAGGCTCTCTTCTCCTGGAGACACCTGGAAGCTCAGGATTCTTCCCTTGACTTTGGGAAGGGAGGCCTTCAAGGCTTCAGCACCCAAGGCTGAGGTCCAGCTGCTGCAGCATGTCCTGCAGGGATCCTTGCAGCCTGCTCAGGGCCACCACCTCCGTGGAGTAGAGGGAGGCTTCCAGGACGCTGCCCAGGCTCTCCAAGGTCTCGAGGGCCCTGGCCTGGGGCAAGGGGCAGCTCTTGGAGGAAGCCAGCAGGTGGAGAAGGTCCCGCAGGTTCTCCAGGTCATTAGATATTTGGATCACATTTCTGGAAGGCAGACTGGTGAGGATCTGTTGGTAGATCGCCAAGGTCTGGTCCATCTTGGATAAACTCAAGACAGGGTGGAGCCCAGGGATGAAGTCCAAACCAGTGACCCTCTGCTTGGAGGAGACCAACTGCTGTGCAGGAGGAAGGGGAGAGCAACTGCTCAGCGGGGGAGACATCAGCTCCGCAAACCCTGGCCTTTCCCACAAGCATAGAGGTTCATTCCTTTGGTACCTCCTTTCTCCCTTCCACATCATCCTGCCTAAGCCCTTACTTCTTGTGCCCAGGTGGCTGCCAAGCCTGCAGGTTGGTCTCCTGGACTTCTGTCTTCCTACCCTTCCCAAACCACCCTGCCCACCACTTTAGACCCTCCTTTGCAAGTTATTCCCTTCTCCAGATGCCTCTGCTATAGAACCAGCCATGAATCCCTACTTCTTACTAAGTTGAGCCTCTTCCCAGCCCTTGAGGTCCTCCATAAGGTCCCCATTCCCAGTGATTCTCATTCCCTTCCTTCCACAGCAGACTCCTTCCTCCCAGTCAGGTTCTCCATGAAATCCCACCCCCTTAAAGATCAAGACCATACCCCCAGCGATGCCCCACCTCACTCCTCTGCTCTAATAACTCGGTTACCAGGAGAGACTCTCCCCCTGCCCCCGGCCCACAGCACTCCCTGCACCACACAGGTTGGCACACTCTGGATCCATCATGTGCAGCTTGTCAAATGACTATTTTGAAAGCAAGGAGACATACAGATTTTTCTCTATGAAATGCCCAAGACTCCATCTAATTCTGAACTGTCCCAGCTTCCAGCCTCCGAACTTCTCCCCAGGTGCCCAAGGCCACAGTCAGAAATGCACAGTGGCCAGGAGATGAAGTCTCCAGATTGCTCAGTGCAGGTCAATAAGTAAACTTAAGGCTGGGGGATATCAAAAGTCACAACTGAAAACCTTTGAAGAGGACACGCACTCTGTTCTGGTTCTGCAGGGGGATGTATGGGGGCGATGGGTCACATGCTTTATCTGATTTAATCTCATAACGACCTTGTAAAGACTGTAAGATTGTCCCATTACCTAGAGGAGGAAACCATGGTTTAAAGAAATTGAGGAACTTAACTGGCTTAAGATTTTACAGACAGAGTGGGGAGGGTATAGCTCAAAGAGCTACAGCATATGCTTTGCATGAATGAGGTCCTGGGTTCAATCCCTACTACCTCCTCTAAAAAGCAAATAAACCTAATTACCTCCCTTGCCTCCCCCCCAAAACAAAACTTAAAAAAAACTTTCATTGTTGGAAAAAAAAAGATTTTACAGACAGAGAACAGAAGGGTGAGTATTCACACTTAGTCTTCCTAATTCTAATTATAGAACTCATCTGGGAAGTGGTCCCCACAGAAAAGACCCAGGGGACATTGACAGCTGTTTGCAAGTACACAGAGGGCTGTATGTGAAAGAAGACAGATTTTTTTCTAGGCGGCCTGACAGGCAGACCTCGTGGTCATGAGAAGCTTCATGGGGTCAGAGTTCAGCTCCAACCACGAAGAATGCCCAATGATTAGCACGTTTTAGAGATGGGATGGAGACCCAGAGGAGATGCTCCTGGGGGGCCTGGTCACCTCCCCAGGGAACACAGGACCTTTACGTCTCCTTCTGGTCCTGGGCACTAGGATTCCAGTCAGGGCAGAAGGGGAGGAAGGGAGTGGGGGCCGTGGGGAGGGGAGAGCAGAGGCAGCTGTCCGTGCGTGGACACGTGGCAGGGCATCGAGGCCACCACAGCACTGTGTATGGCTGCATGGCCTCAGCCAACCTCTGAAGTCCGGCGTCCCCACGGGCCGGCCACTCCTACCTGGTCTCCCAGGCCCTCCCTACCGTGTGTGAAATGTCATTGATCCTGGTGACGATCGTCTTGATGAGGGTTTTGGTGTCATCCTGAACTTTTTGGATGGGCACGGCTTCAACATAGGACAGATAGGGCCAAAGCCACAGGAATCGGCAGAGGGGTCCACAGCGCATTTTCCTTCCCGGGATGGGCTGCTGGGGCCTGAAAACAGAAGGAATGACATAGAGCGTGTCACTGGGATCTCGGAGAACACCCATACGCCCCGTTACCAACCACATTATCGGATGCGGATAGAAACGAGATTGGCTTTCTGCTGTGGCTATCATCTCCCCAGAGTCAAAGACAATTCATTATCTAGAAATACATTAATAAAATGCACTCCCTTGAGGACAGGCACAGCCAGATCAAGAAAACCACAGTGAGGTGAGCTGGAGACCGCAGAGGAGTACGCCAGGGCATGAGCACATGGACAAGGTTCTAAGGTCTGATTTGAATCCAGCCATTTACGAGCTGAATGACTTCAGGCATCTCACAGAAGCACTAAAAACTCCCCCTTCATCCCCTGCAATATACCTATCTCCAGGCTTTTACAAGGATCAAATTAGATAATGTGTGTGAAAGAGCTTTAAAGGTGTCGTGATGTGTACTCTATTACTACCCTGTTATTAGAGATTATGTTACTGTCCTCTCCATTACTCTCTCACTGCAGCCAGCTAATACCTCCACAGTGGCATTTATCACTGGCTTTATTACTTCCCTTCTCTCCCACTGGGAGCCTGAATCCAACCGGCACTTAAGGAAGGTCCAGTACATCAGATGCAGTGCCGGACACCAAGGATGCCGCAGTGAACAACGGAATTCCCCTACTCTCAAGACGCTTACAGTTTCATAGGAGAGGTAAACAGGTAAATAGTTCACTCCAATACAGGAAGAAAGAGCTTTGCAAGAAGGATAAGATATCACGGGAGAGGTGTCGGCTGAGCTGGGTATTAAAGGTCAACTAGGGGTCAGTAAGAATATAAAGTGGTTGCCAGAAGTGGCCAAGAAAGCAGCTGATGCAATGGCGTGGAGGCAGGAAAGAATGTAACACATTCATCCAGAATGTCTGAAACTTCCAAAGTCCTGGAACCATGAATTCTAACATGAATACTGTGCAGATCCTTGATTAAGCAGCAAAGTTTTAATGAGATACACGAGGCAAAAGGTAATAAAGTTAAGTGTATGTGAGTCTATGGCCAATGATCTGTGCTAAGTATGTGTGGGTGAGCCTGAAATAACGAGCAAGAGTAGTAAATATTAGCATGAAGGTTCTAGAGATGGCAAAAAAGTTCATCCCTGATTTTTTGTGTTCTGCCTCATCTGGGTCCTGATAAAAACAGGTAATGCATTTTCAGTCCATAGGTGACAGTAACAGTATAATTCATATTCTGGCAATATAATAGAAACATGCAGTCTCTTTCTATATTATTTATAGTGCTTGATCAAAGGTATGGTTTTTAAAAAATTAATTAATTCTTTATTTTTAAGAATTTCATTTAATTTTTTTTAAATGGAGAGACTGGGGATTGAACCCAGGACCTCATGCATGCTAAGTACATGCTCTACCACTGAGCTATACCCACTCCCCAAAGGTATTTTTTTTTAATGTGAATTTTATAGCAGGGGGAAAATGATGCTCAAGAAGATGCATTAACTTGTCCAAAGTCAAATAGGTAAGCGGCAAAGCCAGGAGTCGCGGCCAGAGCTGCCTTACCCAGAAAGGTTGGGCGCTTTCTCCCCTACCCCACCAGTTTTTCCAGCCTTTAAGGGAAAGCCCAGATTACAAGCCATCCAATGCCCAACCAAGGGCAGCTCCTGGGACTCTGGCACTCAGGAACAAACACCCTGCTCTAGGATGAAGCTACAAGACTGTACCCCTGCGTCAACTTCACGTATGAAAAATACTAAGT